CATGCCCAGAGCATCTGGGATTTTGAACACTGTACCTTTAGGGGATTGCTGCCCATCCCTTTTACTCCCAAACTTGTTCAAACATTTATTTTGAAACACTTCCTTCTACAACACCAACGGTCCAACCAGATTCAAATCCAGGAAGAGCAAATACCTCTACTCTCTAAAACGGGGTTTTTGACAAAGCCCTTATTTTACCTGGTTCCCTACAAGGTTTCTTTTCCAGTTTGAACATAAACTGAAAAGTGGAGGCAGAGTAAAATAACTTTTTGAGCCGTCAGCCTGAAAAGTTATTATGGAGTAAAATCACTCCTCCATTGGGCATGCCCGGAATTCAGGGGGGAAATTTGCTTTCAAGTTGTTCTTACAGCCCTGGACCAGATGCTCTAAGGTGGCCAGAAACCTTTGTCTACACCCACTTAGCAGATTTTTGGCTCTCTATCAGGAACTAAGAGGTTTATTTGCAGAAATGAATCATTTCCTTCAAAATATCCTTTACCCTATTTACATGCTTGCATATTCCTTCCATTTTGTTTTCCCCCTACAGCTTTACTAAGGGAATTAATTATCTTGAAGAACAGGAACATACAGTAAGTACATCTGAGATACAGGATGAGGCACAGTATGTCATCTATTAGGCCTGGCTAAGACCAGCAGCTGATGCTAAATGGGAAGGAACATGCACCAAATGTTTTTTAATCACAAAGTTAGTAATTAATTGCTCTTTAAAATACATTTTATGCTTCTTTCTGTCTGTGTACATGAAATGCACATTTATTACATGCCAAAAATTACAACATTATGGTTTAAATGTGACTGGCACGGAAGTCCGGAAATCAGAGTTAACGTTCCCACGGCAACTTTAATTCTGTCCGTGTGCACATGTAGGGCCGTAACAGTCTTCCGCTCCAGGATAATACGTATAGATGGTCTGGGAAGGGAAGCTAAAGGCCCATATCCTCAACTGTAGTTACAGGAAAAAAACAAAGGGTGAAAACCGTGCTCCTTTCCACATATGTGGATAGAAAACAATGTCACCACGCCTGGTGTTGTGTAATCAGGGAGTGAAAGAATCTGCTGTGGTGCTGGCACTCAAGGGGACAGTTTCTGTTGCTGTGGGAACCTGAACTTTGCATTTCCTGACTTTGGGGTAATTAAAATGTCAGCCTTAATGTGGCATTAATGGAGTTTGCCATAAAAAATCCTCTTTGTTGTGTTCTCTAAAAAATTGCTTAAAAGTTCAAACTGAACCAAGTGTACTAAAAATTGTAAACTCGAGGACTTGGCCTGGTGGGGGTGGGTGGGATGGGGGGAGCCAAGGGTTGGGAGGGGGAAGACCCACGAAGGTAGAAGGCCAGAGAAAGGAAGGGCCCGGCCGTCTCCTCGACAGAGCTCAGCCCCAGCAGAGTCATGCTATACCTACAGAGCTAAAGTTAAACCCGCCCACACAACAGTTTGGTAATGTGTAAAGGTTAAATTAAAAATAAATAAAAACTGTTAATGCATAAGTGCGTCTTGGCAAGGACACAAAAAAATGAGACAGCCTGCTGAGGCCAGTGCAAAACACTGGAAGGTAAGTAACCATGGACGACGTCAGCTTCCAACAAAACAAAGACACCAGAATAGGTGCATCTACAGCCCAAGGTAGGGAGCACTACCAAAGGAGGGGCAAAGAGAACCACTTCTCCCTTCTATGGGAGCCTTATTTGGGGGAAAACAAAATAGGAGAAGCACGCAAGTCAAAGTTCTGGTCGGGTCTGTCACATGTATGACTGTGACGTGCTACAGCTTGATAGTTGTCAAGATAGAGAGGGCTTCGTCTGCTCTGCTGACTTGGTTTAGGCCTGTTGACGCGTTTGAAGAGAGAGCTTGGCTCAGCTCATCCTCAGCCTGTTCCTCGGCAGGGAACGGTTCTGTCAAACACCTAGGGCTTTTGGACCCTCTGCATTCCAAAAGTCATCTCAACGCCTTGTGTTCTCGCCATCTGAGTTTGTTTGGAAATGGTGGAGAGGCGACAAGCTCGGAGGTCATGGGGGAATGTCGCCAAGAGGTCACTTAGTGGGTGTGCTGTTCGCAGCACACAATTCCGTAGCACTATTAACCTCATCATCTCACAAAGGGAAGCATTTCTCAGCCATATTCCTTCTTGTTTTGAATATTACTGGGATCTTCTGTAAAATGTGAAGTGGCTCAGCAGGTTAAATAGCCAACTGAGAATTTTAGGGATCAGACGTGTCTACAACATTGGCCTGGGTCCTTCGGGTGCGACAGCAGTACATCTTACCCACCCTGCCCAGGTCGGAGGCAGAGCTGGCTCTTCCTTTGTGGGGATGCTGACCCATTGTGTTTTAGAACTCACTCACCAATATGAGTAGCTGCACATTTGCAAGGATGCCATTTATGGGCCTGGAACAGAGCATGCAGGCTGCTCCCTGGGAGAGCAATTCCATAAACATCCCTGGGTGTCTGAAGGAGTTAAGTGCCAAGCAAGTCATTCATCTACAGAAGTGTCAGTTTTCTCAGTCTTCTCCTCCGTAAATTGGGAAGAATTATAAGGATTGTCAGGAAACGGGCATTAGAGCATGACTAAGAATAATTTTGCTAAACACATAACAAATAAAAAGGTGCTATAAAAATTCAGGCACTTGTGAAAGCTTGGAACACCACACACTGGTGGAATGTTTCTGAAGTTAAAGAGACTAACAAGTCAAGGGCACTATTTTTAAATGCCCCAAATCTGTTAGTTCTAAATAGGAACTGAATATTTTACCTTAAAGAAATTAGGCTTTTAAATTAATCTATGGTACGAATGACATTTGAAAGAAAAAAAAAAAACAAAAAAAACCCCTTCTTGAATGCAAGAAGAGCATCCAAAAAATTTAACAGCTTAAAATAAACCTCTTTCCTGTCTTCTCTCAAGCAATCTCCAAATGGACAGATTTCTGTGAATCTTTCCTAAAAACAATTTTCTTCTAAGTGTAGGCTCAAATCAGGACAAACTACAATCCAAATATATTTGGAGAAAAGTCTAATCGATTTAAACAACAGGTCAGAAGGGAGAAGACTTACACATCTTAATGGCAAAATCAGAATGACGTTCTAAGCAGCTGGAGATTAGGTGACTCCTCCCTATTTGTTCTCCTTCCAAGTACGTTCAGACACCTCACTGTGAGCTCAGATCTACGGGCTCCCTCAGGGTCACCAAGGAGCTGTACGGCAGCGTCATGCTCATACAGTTTCTTGCACGTATTCCATGCTAATGCCAAGACCTGGCTGGAGGATGCTTATGGTAAAGTACAATAAATGAAGCCGGGTGCCTTCTCTATTCCGCAAAACATTCATTTTGCTGCAACAGGGGATTTCTGGGCTAAGGCCATTCTATGTAATCTTCCCCATAAGGTGTGGCAGAGAGCCAGGCAATGAAGGTCGGCATGCAGGAGCTCCAGGCCCTTCTCCACAGGAACGGGCTACCTTCCTGGTAGGTAGGGATAGTGTGCACATGTCTACGGGCACCGTGCCATGCTATTTTCCAATTCTTCCTGTAATTACTATTAGGCTGGAGACTGCCAGGCAAGAAGGGCCAAGGATGTTATTATTACGATGGGCCACAGAACATAGTCCTTGCTTCCGATCCCCAGGTTTCTCCAGAGAAGCAGCAACTTGGAACAAATCACACGGGCTCTAGAGATTTGGATCTCATTCTTTCTCGTTTAATTTTCTAGTAGCAATAGCTGGGGCAGGGTCTCAGCCCAGCCACCATGTAGGACGAGCTCCTTTCACCCCAACCTCAACCCCCGGGTTTTGTCCCTTTACTCAAGACAGTAATTATGACGAAGCAAGTAGGGAAGGGAATCTCCCAGAAGCATCCATTTCTTGCCCACTTTGCAGAGTTTTCCATTTGTTTTGTCAGAAAAATAACAAAAGGAAATTTAGATTCTCATTTCTTAATTAATAATGCTTGTGTTCATGGACAGGATAAATGGAGCCCTTTTCTGAAAACAAACTGTCTTGGTCTTACTCTTCCTCCTTCTAAAGAAGAACATGCCAGCTCTTCGCCTGTTACTAGACATCCTTTATGGAGATCACTTCAGAATACTTGTTGGGTATCTTAAGACCAAAAGGAATTTTCTTTCTGATTGGGCCCCAAAATTATTCTATTCCTTTCCATTGTCAACACACATGTTCCTTTCTCTTTGAAGTATTGGGTTACACTTCAAAAAGAGAAAAGCTCCTAAACATGATTTATCAACTTTCTTAAAATAGAATTTGAAGAAGTGACTCCCAGATTAGTGAGAAGACAGCAAAAATAAACAGCAATGGAGTGATTTCAATAGCGACGATCTCATTAAGCTGCCCATTTCCAAATTTAGCCCGTAGGCAGTTTTTTTAATTAAAAAATATTTTTAACCTGAATTCTTATTGGCTACGTGAAGTCTGGGTGGATTCTGAATTCTTGGAAGCCATTCTCTTTTCTTCTGTAAATTTATGCTATCCTTTAACCACTTCAAAATAAATTAAAAACTGGAAGGACGGAAATTCAGCCAAGCCAAATGAGACTCCAATAACTAATGCAAAGCTGACTTGTATTATGTAATTTCAAAATGGATGTTTCCTGTGTCTAACTGGCTTTTTGAGGTCCATATTTGGTGGTTCAGTTTAGTCATGGTGGAAGTGCTGTTATTCAGATCGAGGGGACAAAGGAATAATTAGAAAACAGTAACCTAACTTTTTTTTTTTTTTGAGTGAATGTTATGAAAGAAAATGTGGTCCATCTAATCAATCAGCCTTTTGAGGTCAAGTGGCTGGACACTTGGTTTTAAAATACACGCTAGCTTTGAAAATATAGACAGTTGGCTGAATCAAAATGGAGGCAAATTCCTATTGACTACTCTAGAAGACCAAACGGAAATGGCTTGTTCGGAACGCAAAAAAGCCAGAACCCGGGGGAGAAGCACGCTCCAAGTGCCACGAAGACACCATCACCTTACTGGTGTACTCACAATCAGATGACCCGGTGTGAGCGTGAGAGTTTGTCAGTGAATGTGTTGAGTGGATGAGGGCTGGGTCTGGAGACAAAACAGCTTCAAAGTTCAGGCAGGGAAGGCCCGGCTTGGCGCTGGATCCACCCGGCTGAGTAATCTCATTCTCCTCAGATGCCTTCTGGTTTTCAGCTGTCTTGGGTTTCTTCCTGAAAATAAACAAAGGGCCCTTTGAAGGAACTGACTGCATATTTGGGAAAAGGCATTTTTAGAATCTGTTAAAGATAACTTGATTTTTTTTTTCTGAGGGGGGATGGGAGGGAGTCCAGTATGTCCCTTGTTTTAAAACAAGCTGATTCTTGTTTTTTTCCCTCCAGTAATGGCCTAACTGGGAACACATGAAAGCATATGGGCCAAGCAAACAGCACCACATTTGGACTCTGTTGGCTGCATAAAAAGACCCTGTCCCAGAACTTTAGACAGATTGAGCTACGTATGGCTGACATTATCCAAGAAAGCATCCTTTTTTCCCCCTTAAGAGTTTTAACATGGTCTGGAAAAATACTAGTGGAGGTTTACCGTTCTAGCATTTGTCAGGAAGCTTAGAGACAGGACCCGTGGAGTAATGGGAGGAGCACTGGACTGGGAGTCAGGAGACTTGAGCTATGGTACTAGCTGTGCCTCTAACTTGCTGTGTGGCCTTGGGCACCTCACTTCACCTCTCTGGGCTTCAGTTTCCTCATCTGTAAAATAAAGGGCTTGGATTAGAAGGCCTTGAAGGTTCCTTCCAGCTTGAAGTTTCTATTCATGGAACACATCATGGAACATTCAAGTTTCTTGCTGTTATTAGATTTCACTTTAGATTAACACATAATTCCCAATCACAGTCTGAATTTGCAGGCCATAGAGATGAGAGGGTAGTGATGGAGATTTTTGTGAAAGTAGCAAATGAAAAGTGAAACAGATGAGCTTAGCTTCTAGCAGGTAAAGCGGTAACACATGGATATCCTCTATTCCAACCCTTTACTCATCCAAAGCTGAAAATGCCCTTTGTTGATTTAGCACATGACCCTGGAGTATGGGACTCGGACTGTGTGTTTGGGGGTGTGAGGAAAAGATGGGTGAAGGGAACCAGAAAGCAATTATTGCCCACTGTTGCTTGGGGTCAGGAACAGGAAGCAAAAGAGCTCAGGTATTGTGGGTATCTCCCCCCCACCACCACCACCCCCGCCCAGGACAATAAAATTACCATAAACACAGAAATACTGCATGCACTCTAGGTCCCAGCCATACTGGGTTATTAGGCATATCCTGAATTGGAACATGCCTTCCAATTTCCTTGTCTCTGTGCCTCTTTTCTATCATTATGTGGATGGTGACCAGAGAAATTATTTTATTTTATTTTTTGGTGGAAGACTATGTGTATGACAGAATTTGTTGTAAGTAGCTCTGTTTCCATGTTTTTCTTGTTTCTATAAGCCTGGCAGTGGACTCGTCATGCAGAATATTTTGTATCGAAATTTGTGGTACGGGGTAGTTAAATCTGCCCTCGCAGAATATGGTGTTATGATTAGCATGCTGTGTTTCTGGTCCAACAGGTTGCGAAATCAAATCTGCTTTTTTCAGAGGGCAGGAGGCAGAGATGGCATGGTAAAGATGATGAGAGAGGAGAAGCTTTCAGACATATTTTTCAGCATGGAGGAAGCCAATATAAGAGAAGCAAAAATTGCAATGCTTTACCAACTGTTTGTTGGATGGGTGACTGTAGAACCAACCCCCAAGTCTTCAGCATCTACATGGACCTCCAAGACCCTGGTTTCTGGTGTGCAGTTTGAGAAAATATTCAAGATCAAAGTCTCCAGAGCTTAACCCTTTTTTTATCCTTGGAAGCCAGCGCCCCCTCTAAGGTCCCTCCTCATTTCCATTACTGTTGTCTATCACTGGCTGAAACCGGCTGAAACTGTAGGTGAGCAGAGCCTTCCTCTGCCTTAAAGCCGACTCATCAAGTCCTGACAATTCTGTTTCCTTATTTTTTCACGTCCATGTTTCCTTTCCATTTCCACTGCTATCCCTTGACACTTTCATTTAGACTGTTGTTTATTGACTGGCTCTCTATCCTCTTAGACCCCTCTGACCCCAACACCCCAAATGAGTTCTATAGATGCTCTAGCTGAGTCTAGTTGGCCATACAGGACTCTCAAAGTTCTTGAAAATTCCCAGAGCATCTTGGGCCATTTACATCCTTGGCTCTACATCTTTGTTCAAATTAGTTCCCTTGCGTTGTCTGTTTTACAACTCTGTTGAAATCATATTTATCCTTACTTATTAAAGGTTGTCTCCATCTTGTAACCATCTTGATTCACCTCTACCAGATAGAAGGTCTCTCTCTTTCTTTGAAATTCAACTCCCTCCCACCTTTCTCTGAAATTCCCCTCCGCCAAAATTTTACTTCTTTTTTACTCACTAAATTTTGTTTTCATAATCGTTATTTACATGGTTATCCATCCCGTGAGACTGTAAATTCTCTGAGGGAAATATCTTAGTTATTCTTTAATTCCCTATGTTCGTCCTTTCTTTCCTTTTTCCTTTCTTCCCACCATTCATCTTTTCACATATTCATCTTAAAATATCATGCACCTATGGTGGGCCAACATAGGTTAGGGAATGCCGCAAGCCTGGTTGCTCTCCTTCCAGAGTTTGCTCTCTAGAGCGTACTGTTAAGCAGAGTAGCTTAGACAAAGCTGTCATTCAATATTTGTTTGTTGATGGGATAAAGCAGAATTGAAATCAAGGTATATTTTGAGAATAGTCATAGTGTAAATCCCAATTAAGTTTTCCTACTCTTTATGCAGCGGTGAAATCTACCTTGACTGGCTGCTTTTCCTTTGAATCCAGGACGGGCATTTGATAAGAGTAGGATCATTTTGCTCAACAAAGCTGGGCTGGTCCTCAGGAGCCATTTAAATATCAGGATGAAATTCTATTGATAGATATCACTTAATAGAAAAAAAATTTAATACTTATTTCTGACGCCTATAGACAAGGCCTAGGCTAGTTTTGGATTTTTGTTTTCAGGAAACTGAAAAAAGCCCTCTTTCAAACATGAGTGCATGGCCAAACAACCAACCTCACTCTTTTAACACTGCAAAAATGGTACTGTCTTTTATATAAATGCCCTTGCTTCCTTCCGTGGATTTGATCCTGCTTCCCACCTGACATTTTACACCACACCCTTCTGTTTGTTGTCTCAAGGATCACCTACAGAAAACACCTGCAGCACAGAGGCATTGGAAGCCACCTCTACAAGTGAAAATATTGAAAATTCAACCTTTCGGCCCACCCCCTCATTTGCTTATCCTGATACCACTGGGTGTTTTCCACCTGCACGGATAACAGAGAGCCACTCACTGTCCGTAGAAGCAATTCATTCCCCCCCCCCCCCCCCCCCGCTCACCCTAATAGTTTGGTAGGACTCCTTTTTCTGGAGCTGAGAAATGCGAAAACACGGAAGTGCAGCAGCAGTCTGTGTAGACATGCACAGGTGCTGCTATGTTGGCTCCATTTTTGCAGTCAGTCCATACTTTATTAAGGAGGAAAGAGCAAATCTTGCGGTAATTAATTGAAAATACCTTCCTTAGCTGTGCAAAAAGAATCACATAAACATGGCACATCTGAGGGCAAGCCTGTCCAAGCCTCCCTGGCTATGCATTATTCCCTGGAGCCTTTAGAGGGCAGCAGCACACAGGCAACTCGGGGCAGCGCCTCGGAGAGACACACTCCCCACCAGACCAGAACCTTCCTCTCGGTCATCATGCCAAAGGTTGGTTTGCCAAGCTCTGGCCGCTCAGCCTCTTTCTTTCTTTTCAGTTCTCATTCTGTCTCTCTCTGTCTCTGTCTCTGTCTCTGTCTCTCTCCCTCCCTTTTTCCTCCCTCCCTCCTCCCTCCCTCCCTCCCTCCCTCCCTCCCTCCCTCAATGTTAAAATTATACACTCTGATGAAGTCGCCCCTCAACCGGAAAATGAAAGCTCCAATGAAAAAGTTAGACAAGCCAACAACAACAACAAAGAAAGAAACCGGGAGAAAGGGGAAAGGGGGCTGGTGAGGGAGAAGGATTTAAGAACAAGAGAAGGGCAGATGTTTCGTAAATATATGCAAACCCAAACTGGGTGTACCCTCAACACTTCCACAGAGGAACAGACCAATCATTGTGCACTTCCTCCCGCCACACTGGTGGAGCCCTGCATTCAAAAAAAAAAAAAAAGAAAAGAAAAGAAAAAGAAAAAAAAAAAGTGTGGCTGCAGGCACCTGCCTTTCAACGGTCAGTTCTGACATTCTTACTGAATATCTCCCGATTGTCCACAGAGAACAAAAACATTTTCATCTCCCCACTGGAAACGTTTCTCTTATGAGAAAAAAAAAAGGGCTGCTTCAGGAACTGGAAAGGCGTTTTAAGGTGACTGGTGGCTGGTTTTTAACTCTCATTGTGCTGGTCCTGGCAACAAGTTTTGGGCTGAAAGGTAGCAGTGAGTGAGGTTGTGGATGATGTTGGCTCTTTCCTGACTAGACATATTGCATGTGGAAAGAAATATGCATTGAAACATATTGATGAGATGGTAGGTATTAGGCATGTTAAATGCGTGGAAATTAACCAGATCGGTGGCATTTGATGTATATATTTCACACTTCTTTGCACATATTGCACATACACAGTGATGGCAATGCCTTCTGCAACATATGGAAAATAAATATTTTATCTGTGTGAGCTCTTATCAGGCTCCCGGGGCTGTTGAGAGGAGAGTGCTCTCTTCTTTCTCGCTCTCCCAATTTTCTCTCTTCACTGGGCCCCCACCCTCTCCTGCACATTAACATGCCTTCCACTTATCAGCCTGGTTGGATAGGAAAGAATTAGTCAGAACCTCCTTTTGATAAATAATTACTCAGTCATTGAATCATGACAATTTAGCCCCATGATGCCCTCCCCCCATTTTTTTTTTTTTGAATGGTAACCATTTCTTTATTCTCTTTCCCAACAAAACACTGAAAAGGCTCAGGAGAGTGTTTGGGGAGGGGGGGCAGAGAGCAGAGGTGTAAGAAACCACCCCAGTTGAAGCCAGCTCTACCATCAAGTAGCTGTGGGCCCTAGGCAGGTCACTGTGCTTCTCTGGGCCTCGGTGGAAATAATGGGGAAATAATACCTACCTCCTTGCGCTGATGTGAGGAGTAAATGAGATAATTCATGCCAAGCGATTGGCAGAGTGATGATGGCCCATGGTCAGTGCTCAATGATGGTAGCTATGAGACGGCATCAGTTCTATGGTTCTCATCAGCTCTAAGGAGGCACTTCCTTGGTCTTAGTAATCTTTTTCTAATGTCAAGACTTCAGTAGGGGCAAATGGACTGTAATTGTTGCAGAGGCGGAAGAACGTAAGGATAAGCCATCTCTTCTTCAACACTTTGATCTTACTGTATTACCTCCCGACACCGTCTTTCTGTTCACGTGTTTGCCTTTGCTGCTGCTCTACCAAGAACTCCTCTTGAACTTGAGGATCGAGCAAGCTACACTTGGGCCGGAGAAGCCCATCGAGCCTGGGCACCATGGTCTGTTTGTCGAAGCCAACCTTTGGCACTTTCGCTTATTACGTCCTTTTACAATTTATCCTTTTACTACTTGGTCTAATGTTCCCAGACCAATTGAAGATGTTTTCATAATTAAAACATTTTATTCTCTCATTTTTTTTTTTGTTTACCTTCTTGGCAAGGCTGATTTATAGTGTTTTTCAGTGTATTTCTCCCTCGCTGTATCAGTCAGGATCCTGGCAAGAAACAGCTGGCACACTCACAGGTTTTAGCTGGAGAGAGTTGAATGTAAGGACTGTACAGTAAGGTGCAGAGGAGGTAAAGGGGTGCCCAAGGGAGGGTGAAGCACCAGCACTAGCACTAGCAGCGGGTGGGGGTGGTGGGAGGACTTTAAATCTCAGCTTTCAACTGTTAAATCCAAGGGGCAAGGAAGGCATGGCATTCTCTGAGTCCAGTCAGAACTGCAGTTAGAAGGGGTCTGGACGAATCAATACCGTGCCCTCACTCTCCTCCTCCTCGCACATCCTTCACGGATGTTCCTTTTGGCCAAATTCAAAGGGAAGCCAGAGTGAAAGAGAGCCTGGTGAGTGCAGTCCAGAAAGGCGGCCTCCTGGGCCACATACCAGGGCAGAGGAGGGCTCAGGGGTTTTGTGTGTGTGTAGAGGGGAGACTAATCAGCGGGCCGCTTCTTACTCTTCTCCCTTGCCTTTACCCTTCCCTCTCGATCTTACTTTCTGGAAAGAAAGACACAGCAAAAGAAAATTAAGTCAGTTCTCTCAGGGTCCATGAACCTATCTGGTCTATTTGCCCTTTGTGGGGGATGAAGACTGCATGTGGGCTCCATGAGAGCCGGGATATTTGTGTGTTTTCTTTTCTTTTTTTTAAAGATTTTATTTATTTATTCATGAGAGACACAGAAAGAGACAGAGGGAGGCAGAGACACAGGCAGAGGGAGAAGCAGGCTCCATGCAGGGAGCCTGATGTGAGACTCGAACCCCGGCCTCCAGGATCACACCCTGGGCTGCAGGTGGCACTAAACCACTGTGCCACTAAGGCTGCCCTATTTGTGTGTTTTCTTTGCTGCCACATCCCTAGTTTCCATAACAGTGTCCAGCACATAGCAAACTGCCCAGTGAATTTCAGTTGGTCAAGTAAATATATTCACTTCTGCTGTGCCAGACATTATACACATATTATCTCATTTAACGATCACAACAGTCCAAGTAAGTAGGCAGCTGTTTAGCGTAGTTGTGCAAGTGGTGTGGGAGTGAGTAGGTTTTTAAAATCTAACACTTGTCCCCTCCCTGCCCACCCCCAAGTCTTGACACCTGGCCCAGGACACGGTCAATCCTCAGGAATTTTGTGGTTAGTCCACATTTTTGTGCTTTATTCACCTTATTGCTTTTGTACCTAGCCAGTATGTAAGCTTTACTCTTGTTTCTTCTTTCTATATGAAAGAGCTGAGTTTCTGAAAAGCAGAGTCTGCAAAATTGAGAGCCCAGTCTGTCTCTGGTAGGACCTGTTGCACAGGTAGGACGTGGTGTTGTACACAGGTAAAATGCTTCCTAGGGCAGAAACGGAGGCTCCCTGGTAGGTCTCCCCATGATTTTCAGGAAACTCTAGGTTGTAATTTCTGGGTCTGGATTTGAGTTTTCTGCAGGAAGGTAGGAGTGGTAAAGTCTCTTCCCTTTACCAAAGGATACAGAACCTGGGAACCGGGATGCCTGGGTGGCTCAGCGGTTGAGCACCTGCCTTCCACTTGGGGCGTGATTCCACGGTCCCAGGATCAAGTCCCACATCAGGCTTCCTGTATGGAGCCTGATTCTCCCTCTGCTTATGTCTCTGCCTGCCTCTTTGTGTCTCTCATGAATAAATAAATAAAATCTTAAAAACAAAAGAAACTGGGAACCCAGGCTACACCCTAGCCCAGTGGTGCTACTTACTCCAGTACAATGACCCCGTAATGCAGAAAACCCCAGAACACCATTCAGATGTGGGAATTTCTAAGGCACTCCTTGCACTTCAACTTGAGGATGAAAATATACAAGTAAGTTTCTTGCATGGGTATGGAGAAGTTAGTTTTTATTTTCCGTCACGTCTTTAGTCCCCAGCGCCCTGACCCAGTAGTACTGCACATCACTCTGGTGGTCCCCATCCCCGTGCTGGCCAGGCAAGCCTGCCTGCCACTCACACTCTACTACCACTCATTACAATCCTGGTGACTCAAAGCATTAAAGATGAAAAACAACGCAAAACAAAGCAAAACAGAAACTCAGACTTTGTCCCTTTGGGTGTGATTTATGCCAAAATAACTGAAGACAGGGAAAATCTGAATGTGAAAATCCTACCTGAAAGCCTAAGAGGGATGAGACTCTCCCAGGGTTAGTGTTTTCCAGTAACAGAGATGTCTGTCAAACCCCATCCCATCACCTGCCTCATACCATATATAGGAAAACCTGAGACTACAACTAGAATGAGGTGTTGTCTTAAAATATATAATTAAGTTATTTTGCATGCATAGCCTCTAAATAATTCAGATTTCTGGCTTTTTCATTTTAAAAAGCATATATTCATCTGTTACTTTTAGCAATGGTTAATGAATACTTGATATCAATCTTTCATAAGTATCGTCCTGTAGGCATCATACCTCCTAACCCAACTTGTTTCTGCACCTTGCCTTGTAAGGGCTGTACTTCTATGTAAATGCCTGGCATGGAGGGAACAGCCTCACGCACAGAGCCATGCATCCGGAGGGCAGGGCTGAGCTGGGGGCAATGGCGAGAGACGTGGCTGAAGGAGCCCCGAGTCCCCAGGCTGGGCCATGGCCCCACAAAGTGGCGAGGAAACAACAACACTGGCTCAGAGATGCAACTCCGATGACAGGGAGATGCCGATGAGGGAAGCCGGCTCCTGGCCTTGACCAGGGTGCCATGAAATGACAAGTAGCAGTGCAATTCAACAGAATGGCACGGAAGGTGACAAGGGGCCAAGAGATCGGGTGGGAGTTGCCACCATTCCGGGGAGAGTGCAGACGACCAAGTGGAACAGCCCCAGTCCCTGCAAAAAACATCTGGATCCGGCCCCGCACAGTCATCTGGTGAGAAGGGCATGTGCTGCTCAGGGCGGGCACCGCAGGCTGGCAGCTAAGGGCCACTGTGGGCACCTCGGCACTGGGTCTTGCAACCTCACTGCGATCAAGACATGAAGCCATCAGAAATTTCACCTGCATTTACAATTGTGGGAGGTGGATTTTTTTTTTTTAAATCAAATTAAGTGAACTAAGAAGCCTTTCACTGGAGGCATAATGTACTCACAGTAGTTTCCAAATAAATGGTGTCACTCTTCAGGTAAATCACTCCAAGGCTTGGGCCTAGTGCAGATGTTCATTGGGGCAGGGAACAGAGAGCGGCTGCATCTAGAGCAGACAAGGAAGAAAGATAAGGCTGTTAAACGACAGGTGATGGTGACCAGTCGTGTCCATGGAGACAGAGCCTGGGGACTTGGGTGCGAGTCTGCTCCTGCCCCTTTGCACCGGCTAGTGCACCCAGCAGGGGTGGTGGGGGCAGAAGAGAGGATGTGGCCCGGGCTCCGGCGGGTCTGAGATCTTCGGCAGCACCCTGTCTGTGCACACGGGCTTGATTTCGTGGTGGGGAGATGGAAGCTGGGGTGTAAGGGGGAGGTGTCCTTCCACCTTGTCACGACTGTTCCGGTGTTCTTGGCTCCACGGTAGCCTCTCCTGCTTTAGTGCCCAGTTCTCTTCTGCTCTAAAAACGCCGCTGAGCTGGCCATGTTCTGAGCTCGTGCTGTGCCCCTGACCCTCACTTCAAGGTCTCCACTGTCTCTTGTGTCCTCACACGTGGCGCTCAGCCTTAGGGGCTCCCGGGCCGACCATCGTCTCCAGCCTCGCACCCAGAGGTCCATATCCCAGGCCTTGCCCTTTGGGCCACACTGAGCCCCGATGACCACATTATTCCCAAAACTGTCCTCCTTTCTCACCAGGACACCGCATAACCCTGACTTTCCTTCTACCCCTCAGCTCATCTGCCTCCTTTCCTGGCTTGTCTTCTCCCTCCTGTTCCCTAAATGTAGATATCCCTCAAGACTGTCTTCTCCATCTTTGCCTACACCCACCCTGCATGACCTCAACAATCACTTCTCCATAGAGAACACCCACATGGCTATCTTTAGTTCCTGCTTGTCTGCAGAGCTCCAGATCCACATTCTTAATAACCTCTGGTTATTGGTTCATTCACTCATTTGCTTGTTCGTTCATTCATTCATTCATTCATTCATTCATTCAGTGTTTGCATAGCATCTATCAGGCACCTGAAAAAGATGAATAAGACAGGGCTTCTCACTCTGAGAAGCTCACACCTCCATCAAATACTGCACAGGCACTGCTAATTCAGAATTTTAAAACAGAATTCATGGTCTCTCCCTGAAAATATGTTCCCATTTTCTGCCATGTTCCATTTCCTACCATCTCCACCCAGTTACTTGGTCCTACAATGGAGGAGTCAGCTTCAAGTCCTCCTTCTCTTTTGCTTCTCATTGTCAATCGATGGCCAAGAGATGTGGTTTGTGCTGAGGCTGTGCTTCCTAAATCAGTACCTACTTTCTATCCCAACACCTGTTTATCCCTCTGTCACCTATGCCAGGACTTTCTTGAGAGCCTCTCAATGGCTTCACTTCTTCCGGGTTCTTTTTACCTTTAGCCCATCCTTCACACCACTACCACATTAATTTTTCTTGAATACCATTCTAAATATATCACTCCTTTGCTCTTTGCCCACTGGATTAAATTCAAACTTCTCAGTTTGGCATTCAAGGCCCCCACAATGTAGCCTCAGTCTAATTTCCATTTTTTGCAGTGGAAGTGAAGTCCCACTCTTTCCCATCAGATGCCACCTCACTTATGAAGCATTTCCCAAAGGAAAGTGCCCTAGCTGAGTCCTCAGGCACTTTCTGCATGACTCGCTTTGCATGTTCTGTGAACTCTAGTAATTATTTGTGCAACTTGGCTCCCCCTCTATAAGCTCCTAGGAAGCAGAGACGATTTTTACTTTGCGTACTCTAAAGTATGCAGTGCCTTGCACGGAGATTTGTGCTCAGCTGATGTCTGCTGAGCCAAAGTTAAAAGGAATCAAGATTCTTACTTCGAGTCATGGAAACTGAGACTGAATTGGAAAGACCTGAAAGCTCATCGCCTCTCATTTTTCAGATGAGATTAAGGGAACGGACTTGCTCAAGGCCACATCCTTGCTCCTGGTTGAACAGCTATCACTGATAGAAAAGGTCACAGATCTTTAAACATCTGCCAGTGCTTGCTCAGCACCAACAGGCCCAGTAGACCATCAATAGTGACCAGACCAGAGAGAATGAGGGGCTCAGGGGTGGGGTGCACAGCCAGCAAGAAAGGATATACTGGGTCCCAAAATATAAAGAAATGTGCTTCACTTATTCACTTCAGTACACTGAAATAATAAATATCCTTTTGTAGATAAATAATGTTAAAAAATGAGGGTGGATTTAAAGAACAAGGAAGCGAACCTTTCTAACACCGTCAGCAGAAACAATTATGACAATATTGCAAATGCTACCACAGGGTGATAAACTCAGGGTGAAAACCAGGATGAAGGAATTTCTCACGCTTTACAAAAGCAGTGGGTTCAGCTGAAGTTCTTGGTGAAAACATGCCCCAGTAATTCTCTGGTTAAATTTTGACCTTGTGGAAACAGAGGCCACTGGCAATCCTGCTATTATGCGACTCACGTCAGCGTGTCTTTTCCACCTAGTTTTTGCCTGGGGTTGATCTTATAGGTTTGGTTAAATTTCCCTGATTTTTCTTTCACTGTATCATCAATTTACCTGGAGAAAGGTAGAGATGAGTGCTCCCAAGTCTGCCCTAACTTTCTTCCCTTCTTTTCCCCTCTCGATAGAAGAAGTGTCATTGTTTAATCTCCTTTCTATCCTCATCCTCAAACAGAATTCTTTCTCGCCCAAAGATGAAAAGCTCTCCCCAGAAAACATGTGGGGATAACGGCATTTACCTAGGTGAGAAAACCAGACTTTGCCAGGGAATCACCGTGGTGTTTCCTTGGCCAGGAAAGCTCAGCTCTTAAATGTTAGCCCTCCAGCACTACGTGACTTCATCTGCCTCTCCCAGGTGAGTACTTAACTTAGTGTTACTCACCAGAGGAAGAACTCGGTACTATGAATCAGATCCTTTTTGGCCAATATGGGGGAGCCATGCTATGCATTGAGACATCTATTCAATAGCAACACCCCAGTAGCCACATAAATGGCAAACTGGGCTCAAGAGCTCTCTATAGTTCTTACTAAACCATCTTATGGCTGGACAGGTTATCAACACTTCACCAGACACAGCTTCCTTTCTCTTTTCTCCCCACGGCAACTACGTTAAAACGATAAAGGATATCTCTGACCGATATGTCTAGTACATTGCAATGAAAAATCACCTGGAAGCATACGAATCCATTGTGTAATTAGATAAACGTGCATTTTAAATATGCCTAACATTTGGCTTAAACTGTGCATTTTATAATTAAATGGAGACATAATCTTTCTGTCCTTGAATCTAAACTCTTTCCCAGCCTCACATCCTGCTGCTGTAATCTTCCTTTCATTTTTTGGCAAACGGTCACCTCTCCCCCTCTCCTCACTTCCCTGCACGCCTCAGCACACACCTAGGGGCCTATTAATCAGAACTACTGCGTAGTGTGTCATGTTTTACTGCTTAAAGGGTGGGGATGCTCTAAAAAAGACTCGGTGAGAATGACTTCATGAGGTTTCATATTTATTTTCTTGCAATGACTTCCATATCCAATGTACACAGTTTTTAAGTCAAAGGATAATTCTGAGAGGCTGCTGGGGCTACACATTCTTCCCGGAGTCTGGAAATCCAGCTGTTCTCTGTGCCTCTTACATCATCACTGTAATAAAGAATCTGCTCTTGGAACCCAGCTGGCAGAGTTCTTGATGGTGCCAGAGGCAGAGGAGACAGTGGGTCATTTCCATTCCAGTCTGTTTTATTGTTGACGTCTCTGCAGCTCTGCCTTGGAAGCCCTTGGAGAGCAGAGCTGTTATGTAACACACGGCCACACATCACCTCAAGGAATTTTCTGTGGAGGTCTCATTTCAGTATGGCTCTTCCCATTCTTTGGAAATTACACCAAATCATTCTAAAATGACAGATGGGGCCCCTTCATGACTAAAGCTTACAAAAAAGATAATAGTAACAATAATAGCTACCATTTGTTAGATGGCTACATTTTGTTAGGGACTGGATGGGGAATATTTTTACATGCAAATACATGCTTCTTGAATCCTCTCACAGCAATGCTGTGCTGTAGGTATTAGTGTGCCCATTTTACAGATGAGGAAAAGTGAGACGAAGAGAGCTCAAGTATCCATTCCGTGGATAGTGAGGTCAGAATTCAAGGTCAGATCTGAGCCAGATCGCTCTGACTTTAAATCTGGGAGGAGGGAGTTGTTTTGTTTTTGTTTTTGTTTTTGTTTTTTGTTGTTGTTTTCCTTACTCTACAACAACTGTTACATCACAGCGACATGTTTCTAGTTCCTACTGTGACATCAGCATAAGAAAGACGCTTATGCTATTTCCATGATGATTCAGAGCTACTGAAAAAACTAGGAGCACAGACCTCACGTGAAGGAGCTCTTTCAGCAACTATCAGTAAGTGGAGCTCCTTCCTAAATTCCTTTCTATTTGAAGACGAGAAGATCTTTTATCGGTCTTCTCAGACTAATGAACAAATGAATCATGCAGGATTTCTGAGTCAGCATGTCTGGGAATGAGTCTATGATTCTGCATTTCTAGAAAGCTCCCAAGTGATACTGATGACACTGGTCTGGGTACCACAGGTCTCATGTCTGACACTTGCCTTCCTACTGTTTTGGAAGGAGGAGTTCAAGCTGAATAACTTGGCTAACAGCTCATACGGCACGACTGGCTTCTGATTCTGGGCCAGTTTGTCAGGTCATCAGGCATTAGATAGAATTCAAGGAGTTTCTGGCATAGAGCACATTATGAAAAAAAAATTGTTCCTAGATCCCCCAGGGCTCTACTGTACCCCCATTGGAAATTAAAATGATAATGTCTCTAACATGTAAAATTCCTATTTTTTACATTATTGTTATTTTTAACAATAATTATCTGGTAATAATTCAAATAACACCTTTCCTCTGAGAGATTCAATGAGCTTTGCTAACCTTAATTGTCTAACAGCAATTCCCAGGTGTAGATAAAGCTGTCTCAAAGATCACAGTAAATTTAAAATTGTTCCACTTCCCTCCTTTCTTTGCCCCAAATGTAGTGATGAATTAGTGGTGGAGGTTTACTAATTGGCAAAGACCCACGTCTCATAATTTGAGGCA